TATAAATACATATATTTTTTTGTTTACACTCAAACCATATTTTTATGTATAAATATGTATTAGTTATGTAAAAAACTTTATTTTATATTAAATATACAAATTTAAAATGTGTTTGGAGGTTTGGAGGCGTGTAGTCAATCAAAACTCGGATATCAAGTTTGCAACCATCAAATTTTTACATCTTATTTGAAGCTTATGCTTAATTTGATTTTCATGATATAACTAATGCTTTGAATGTAAGAAGAAAAAAAAACACCTTGTATTTAACTAAAAATGTGGTTTTTAAACGAAAAAAATATGTTTATACAGTTTAAAATGTAATAAAAAAATATATTTATACGGTTTCAAATGGAAAATAGACAAAATTGAACAAAATTTGATAAATGATGTTCGATTTGAACAAAAAAAAACATAGTTCAAAATTGAAATAAAAAATTAAACTTAGTGTCAAAATCGAAAAAAAGTGAAAACTTAGTGTTTTTTGTGGAAAAAAAATCAATTTTGACACGTCAGCATATCATGTCAGTATGCCACATCATCAAAACTGACACGTCATCATGCCACATCAACATGTAACCTGGTTAATCGGTCTAGTGGTCAGAATTGTAACAAATTGGAAAACACAGTGTCAAAATTGACACAAAAAAAAACACGGTGTCAAAATCGAATTTTTGTGTAAAATGAGTGTTTTTTGTGACATTTACCCTATTTTTTCCTTTCACCACATTCATTTGAAACCCTCATGACTTTTCAATTTATTTATAATAATATTTATAATTTTGTTAATTAAGTTAAACATATATCAAATCTAAAGTATAATCATATATAAGCTAAATTTCAATATTAAAATAATATCATTACTTCTACTTATAAAATTATGGTTTTTAACTTTTAACATAATATACTTAAATTATTAGTTTTAATATATTGTTGGAAGTAAACCATTGTCATTCGAAAGATATAATTTTGGAATGGTTTGTATAAAACAATTAAATTATTAATTTAAATATAACATTACAGGGTCAACTTAAATATAAATTTTAGTTTAACTTAAACAACCTAAATAATATTTTGTAAATATGTAAAAGTGATAAATTGTAGTGTCTTTGTAATAGTGATTATCAGTTGTTTAATAAGGTTAAATAAATATCAAACTCAAAGTGTAATCATAAATAAACTAAATTTTAATTTTAAAATAATATATTTACTTCTACTTATAAAGTTATGTCTTTAACTTTCAACATATTATACTTAATTTACTAGATTTAATATGTTGTTATATGTAAACCATTATCAATTTAAAGCTACAACCTTTGAACAGTTTTGATAAAATACTTAAATTGTTAACCAAAATATAACATTACAATGTCAATATAAATATAAATTCCAGTTCCATTTAAAAACACAAAAGAATATTTTATAAATAGTTAAACGTGATAAATTATAGTGATAAATGCAAAAACTAAATTGCAATCTCAATTTAACTAAAATATTATTAAACATATTTTTATAATGGTTAAAAGTTTTCAAATGAGTAGCTTAAAATAAGAAAAAACATCATAAATGGTCCCTGTGTTTTCCCAGATTCTGAAGTTTAGTCCCCGTAGTTTAAAAATCTCATAGTTGGTCCCTATGCTTTCAAAACTTTTGACAGGTGGTCCTTATCCCTCACACCGTTAGAATCCCACCGTTAACCCTTATTTCATTAAAATAATATAAGGGTAAATCGGTCTTTTCACCTGTGCCCTCTTCTTTATAACCAAATGCATGTCTATATTGGTCTAACCCTTCTCACACCCACTGTCTTCTACTCTCACTCTACTGCTCACTCTACTGTGCATCGAATTCCAAAACGATTTCTGCGAGTGTCGAAGATGGCGATTTGTAGATGTGGAATGGAAACAACGAAGTTGACCTCATGGACGGATCGTAACCCAGGAAGGCAATTTTTGAATTGTTCAAGATGTGGGTTCGTAAGGTGGGTTGACCCTCCGATGTGTGCAAGGGCATTGGTGGTGATTCCAAGTTTAATAAGATCAATGAATCGATTAGAAGAGATGGTTGCAATTGCAAGTGCAGAACTGTGGAACTACCGGTTTATGTTGTTCTGTTCATGGATGATTTTTTTTTTGGTTTTATTTTAACTAGTAAGGATTTGGATGGTAATAGGATGGGGGTTTTTGGTTTCTTTGTACGCATCTAACTAGTTCAGGGGGTTTTGGATATTGATGGAATGGGTATTTGTGGTTTCATTTTGTTGTATGAAGTGTAACACATTAAGTTAACGGAAATGATGATTATGTATTTTGTTATAAATCTGTGGTTTTGATGTTCATTTTTGTATGATGCATTGTTATAACTGCATCTTGCAAATGGTTAGGAATGGTATTTCAAATCTACATTGTTATACATGCATCTTCTTGAGAAAGGTTTGGAGAGGGTAATTCATAAGCAAAATGTTGATAAAATCATTACAAGTTTGTGTTTAACCCATACAAACACGAGACTTACTTTCAACATACTTACTGATGGAATGTCTTAACCCATACAAACATTACAAAAGACCTAATTACCATAATTTAAACAACCAAACCATAATTTATGTTTCAAAAGACCTAACTACCCAAACATCCAACTAACTACTTAACATATTTCCTAAATTACCCTTTCCCTTTCCTTGTGTCTTACCCTTTGCCTGTGTCTTCCCTTTTCCCTGTGTCTTCCCCTTTGATCCAACTTCACTAATGCCTCCCTGCTCTTTACATGTTCTTGAATTGTGCCCCTTGTTATGACACTTTGAACAAGTGACTGCAATAAATTTCCTGCTCAATTTAGTGGTTTGGCTGTTGGGCTCATCAACACCTCTCCTTCTCTTCTTTTTTGGCCTCCCAACCTACACATATGCATTTATTATATTTAAAACATTAACATACATGCTGGCATTAAAAGTACATATCTAGCCTAGTTGACATAACAACCTGTGTGTGATGTTTTGGTGGAGTTAAAGTGAATGGACAATCACTTTTTGGCCACATTGATCGACCATTTATTGGATCAATTTTGTTCAGATACATGGCTCTCCATGTTGATAACTTATAGCAAGGATGGACCCAATCCTCAACATCAGGGGCATCTTCTCCATTTTCAATTTTGTTCTATATAGCAGAAACAACATGCCTACATGGAAAACCTGTAATCTCCCAGAACCTACAAGTGCAACTTCTTTCATTTAGGTTCACCACATACTGATCCTGCCATGTGCTTGCAACTTGGTACTTTCCTGCCCCATTATACTTAGCTACATACTTTGCTGCTTGAGTCTTAATCTCCTCTAAAATTATAGTTGCAGTAGTACTTAGTTCCCCTTGACACTTATCTATTTCCTTTTTCACAACACACAATCTCTTCATGAGATACTCTCTAATATACTCTAAGCAGGTGATGATTGGTTTATCCCTACCTTCCTCTATCTTAGCATTGAATACCTCACAAAGATTATTCAACAAACAATCAGTGTGTTCCCTACCTGTGAAAACCATATTCAAAAAGAGAAATTACAAATTTTATATTAAAACATAAAACTCAACAACCTCTAAATGACATACCACTGAAGTGAGATTTAGACCATGTCTCTGCAGGAATCTTACACAACCAAGCATGAGCTTCATCATTCATTTTCTTCAACTGATCCATTTCATATTTAAAGTGATTTACTATTGTTGCTCTACCACATTCCCAAACCAAGTCACTCAACTCTTTTCCTTTCCATTGTTTCTTCAAATTCTCCTGAATATGCCTCAAACAAAACCTATGTTCTGCATTGGGAAATACCTTTGCAACTGCTGGTATTATCCCCTTAACAAATGCAAATTCAGTCAGTTTCATTTATAAAATTAGAAAATAAGCTACACTATCATGAGAAATAATTAGGTATAACATACCTTTTGTCTATCAAAAATGAAGGTAAAATTTGAATTTGCTCCCAATTCTAAGTCTTCTCCTAACAGTTCCATGAACCAGGTCCAAGAACTAGTTGTCTCAGCCTCTACCACTGCATATGCTACAGGGTATATTCCATTATTTGAGTCTAGACCCACAGCAATTAGTACTTGCCCAGGATATGGGCCTTTCAAGAATGTACCATCAACTCCTAGGAAATCCCTTAACCCAGCTTTGAATCCCAACTTCAATGCACCTAGACATACATATATTCTTCTAAAAGTTCTTGTATTAGTCGACAATGATGGTTCAGGATACACATCTATCCTAACAGTTGAACCAGGATTTGTGTTTAGCAGTTCCAAAGCATAATCCCTCAGATACCCATATTGAAGTTGGTAGTCCCCACTAATCACACGTTCAGCCATTTGCTTTGCCCTACCAACCTTTTGAACTGACATACCAAGCTCCAACTTCTTACACAACTCCTCGTGTAAAGCTTTGATTGGAATTTTAGGGTTACTTTGAATTTGTGGAACAATTAAGTTTGCTAAATATTTGGAAGTACAAGCTTTAACTGATATTGTCTGCAAACATTTATGGACTTCATGTACTGTTTTCACCAACCAATCTATATTCTCATCTGGCCTTGAGATTTGGACTGCCCAAGGACATTTTCCTTTTTTACTAATCACATTTTTGCCCTTGCACTTTACCTTACTTCTAGTTGATGGCCCACCACATTGAACTATTTCAGTAGATTGTCCCTTGCACTTTACCTTACTTCTTGTTGATGGCCCACCACATTGAACTGTTTCAGTAGATTGGCCCACAACACCTCCACATTTGACCCTTATCCTGATTTTATCATTTTTTGCTAAGTATAGGGACCTCCTTGTATTTACAGCATGTGCATGCATGTAGTCCACAACTTCCTTCTTTGTTTTGAAACAATGCCCCACCCTATATGGTTTTAAATGGATCTCCCCATGTGAGCATGGAGTTGACCTACTCAACTCCTTAAGCATTTTTGTCCTTTCATCTTCATTAAATCCTGCATACTAATAATCATCGCTTTGAATAACTTCCAACTCTTCATCAACTATGTCATTACCTATACTTTCAGTTTGCTTCTTTAAAATTCCATGTTCATCTACATCCACATGACTTTGGAATTCACTCATGTCTACATCCACATCAAATTGCATGTTAGACTCATGTACAATGTAGTCACTATCATCAGAATCATCTGCACTATAATCAAAACCATCTTCATTCTCACTATAGAAAGCATCTCCACTATCATCACTTACCATGCCCTCTAGAATTTCCATTTCTACTTGATTGTCTTCACCATTCGGTACACTGTACTCAGCATCAAATTCAGCATAAGTTGAATAATCATCTGTAAATGCTTCAAATTCATCGAGTCTTACACTTTGTTGTCCATCAATATCTTCAGAAATTGGTTCCTCTGCAAGATTGCCTAAATTGCTCTTACACACTTCTTCTATGTGGCCCATGATCAATCCTTCATTCACATCAATGACATTACTTCGTTGGCTAACTTGAGACATAACATATGGAACAGTAGTCTTTGAATGATCCTGACTTTCATCCATATCTATTACCTGTGACTGGTCAACAACATGGTTGGCAGGGGGGTCTAACTCAAGCTTTTTACTACACGATCCTACTTCTCTTCTACAAGGTTTTTTTCTATTAAGTTCCGGTGACACACTCTCAGGTTCCAGTTCCTCGATAACAACTTTGGAAGGAGACTTAAAATAACTAGCTACCCTAGTCTGACCAATTTCAGTATAGACCTTTACAAGTCTGTGCTTAGGGACATACGAAACCAATTTAAGAACATCTTGGTCATTCCCTAAAGGCAATAACCCGTAGTCTAAGGGAAATTCAGGGATACGGAAATGGTAGTAAAGAGTTTGTTCACCTTTGTACCCTAATTCTCGAACCATGTCATCGAGTTCATGGACTGAAAATAAATCAGTGTCAACGTCATCTACGTATGATACACTACCATCGACGTATTTCCTTCAAGGTGACTTGGTGAAGACACCACTATAGTGTATCTTCAACGTGAAATAGTTATCATATCCCTCTACAAACATAAAAATAGAAAGGATAAAGAAGATGATTTATCTTCACAAATACATTCAAGGAAAACAAAAACTTCAATTTTTTTTTTTATGAAAAATCTTACCGTATCTCGATTGCAAGTCCTTCAAGCACGCATTTTTTTCACGCAAACACCATATTGACAGAACCATTGTCCTTTGGTGCTGTGTAAACCCTAAACCCCAATTTCGATTCGAGGATAAGAGTGATCTGTTGAAGACGAAGTCATTGTGCTCTTGGGAGATGAAGAGTGTTTGGGAGTTGACGTGAAGAAGACAGTGGCATAATCATTTCCCTCAATAAAGAAGAGGGCACAGGTGAAAAGACTGATTTACCCTTATATTATTTTAATGAAATAAGGGTTAACGGTGGGATTCTAACGGTGTGAGGGATAAGGACCACCTGTCAAAAGTTTTGAAAGCATAGGGACCAACTATGAGATTTTTAAACTACGGGGACTAAACTTCAGAATCTGGGAAAACACAGGGACCATTTATGATGTTTTTTCTTAAAATAACTTATAATAACAATAGTTAAAAATAACTCTATATAAATGATTATATTGTTACCTTTAAAATCAAAAAATAATGTTTAATGTTTTAAATAATTATAATGATAGCATTTAAAACATTAATCAAATCAATTTTAAAAAATTAGTTAACAATAATAACAACTATAAATAACATTACACCATATATTAAATTTAATTTTATTCATGTTTAACTCACGGGTAGAAGTCATTCAAACAATTGAGATCATGAAGTTATAATAGATGTATATATTATCATATAATTCAAAATAATCAATATATTATTTGAATTTAGTATACAAATTATTATATCAAATTTAAAAACAATGTTATTGTTATATTAAAAAAACATATTTTTGTAAAAACTTCAACTATATAGGTGTTTCTGCGCATTACAATGTTAACTTAAATATAAATTTCAATTCCACTTGAATAACCCAAGAATATTTTGTAAATAGTTAAAAGTGATAAATTGTAGTCATAAATGCAAAAACTAAATTGTAGTATCAGATTAACTGAAATATTTTCTAAATATATTTCTATAATTGTTAAAAGTTTTCAAATAAGTAGTTTAAAATTACTGACAATAACAATAGTTAAAAATAACTCTATATAAATGATTATATTCTTACCTTTAAAATAAAAATAAAAAATTCATGTTTTAAATAATTATAATGATAGAAATTAAAACATTACGCAAATAAATTTTAAAAAATTAATTGACAATAACAACTATAAATAACATTAAACTATATATTATATTTAATTTTATTCATGTGTAAGGTACGGGTACAAATCATTTGAACGATTAAGATTATGAAGTTATAATAGATGTATATATTATCATATAATTAAAAAAAAATCAATATATTATATCAATTTAGTATAAAAATTATTATATCAAATTTAAGACAAAATTACAAAAATGGTCCCTATGGTTTGCCAAAAGTCACAAAGTCAGTCCCTGCTAATTTTTTTTGACGAACATGGTCCCTGTGGTTTCCAAAACTTGCATCAATGACCCTTTTTGTTGATGCCGTTACTGTTCATCCGTTAGTGTAAGGGTATTTTGGTCTTTTCAAGTAGCAGGGACTGGGTTTGTGACTATGGGTAAACCATAGGGACCATTTATGTATTTTTTTTCTATATTTTATGTTTATGAGTTTGTGACTTTTCCACCCATTTACTTTTTAAAATATCACTTTGAACCCTTCACTTTGAACTTTGAAAAATGTTACTTTCACCGCTCTATTTTCTAAATTTTCGTGTTTAACCCCGTATTATATATAATTTGTTTTTTATTAATAGCTTTTGTTCGCTAACATAAAAAAACTATTTTTACGTGTTTATTTTCATATATTTGTCGGTATAATTCAAGGTGATCAACGTTTCGATTATAATTTAGAACTTTCTTTCGTTATTTTTTTTTAAAGTTACATGTTTTTTTTATAAAATTGTCGGTTTAAATTCAAGCTTATTTTTCGACGTAGTTTTTTTTTAACTTTATGTATGTTTCCTACGTATGAGACGGGTCATATATAATAACTTTCGTTTGTTAATTTTAAAAAATATATTATATTCGAGATTGTCTATGTTTTGATCTATTTTTTATACATTTTGTGCTTAATTTTATATACATTCCTACGTATCATTCGGGTCATATATAATAACTTTCGTTTGTTAGCTTAAAAAAATGTAGTATATTCGAGTTGTCTATGTTTCGACCTAACTTTTGTTTCATGTTTTTTACGTATTAATATAGATTCGAGTTTGTTTATACGTAACTTTTTTTATGTTTCGTGTTTATTTTTATGTACGTGTTTTTTTCATTTATGTTTTTTACGTCGAAATGCAACTTTTCTGACTATAATCACCAAAATTCAACTTACAAAATTCAAGCTTATAATTACGCTTTTATCTATTATATGTGAACAAACTTATACGTAGGAACATACATAAAATAAGCACCAAAACGTACAAAAAAAATTAAATCAAAACATAAAAAATAAAGAAAAAGAAAAACTCAAATTTATATTAGCACGTGCATAAAAATAAGTAAGATTTTTTGAAGTTAACGAACGAAAGTTTAAATAATAAAAAATTTATAATATGTGACCCTAATTATAAGTAGGAAACGTACAGAAAATAAAGCACGAAAACATTAAAAAAATATGTTTCGCAAAATGTTTTGGTGCTTACTTTATGTACGTTTCTACGTATAACTTTGTTCACATATAATAGACAAAAGCGTAATTATAAGCTTGAATTTTGTAAGTTGAATTTTGGTGATTATAGTCATAAAAGTTGCATTTCGACGTAAAAAAACATGAATGAAAAAAACACGTACATAAAAATAAGCACGAAACATAAAAAAATTACGTCGAAATATAGACAAACTCGAATCTATATTGATACGTAAAAAACATGAAACAAAAGTTAGGTCGAAACATAGACAAACTCGAATATACTACATTTTTTTAAGCTAACAAACGAAAGTTATTATATATGATCCAAATGATACGTAGGAATGTATATAAAATTAAGCACAAAATGTATACAAAATACATTAAAACATAGACAATCTCGAATATAATATATTTTTTAAAATTAACATACGAAAGTTATTATATATGACCCGTCTCATACGTAGGAAACGTACATAAAGATAAAAAAAAAAAAAAAAAAAAAAAAAAAAAAAAACTATGTCGAAAAATAAGCTCGAATTTAAACCGACAATTTTATAAAAAAAAAAAAACCATGTAACTTTAAAAAAAATAACGAAAGAAAGTTCTAAATTATAATCGAAACGTTGATCACCTTGAATTATACCGACAAATATATGAAAATAAACACGTAAAAATAGTTTTTTAGGTTAGCGAACAAAAGCTATTAATAAAAAACAAATTATATATAATACGGGGTTAAACACGAAAATTTAGAAAATAGAGGGGTGAAAGTAACATTTTTCAAAGTTCAAAGTGAAGGGTTCAAAGTGATATTTTAAAAAGTAAATGGGTGGAAAAGTCACAAACTCATAAACATAAAATATAGAAAAAAAAATACATAAATGGTCCCTATGGTTTACCCATAGTCACAAACCCAGTCTCTGCTACTTGAAAAGACCAAAATACCCTTACACTAACGGATGAACAGTAACGACGTCAGCAAAAAGGGCCATTGATGCAAGTTTTGGAAACCACAGGGACCATATTCGTCAAAAAAAATTAGTAGGGACTGATCTTGTGACTTTTGGCAAACCATAAGGACCATTTTTGTAATTTTGTCCAAATTTAACAACAACGTTATTGTTATATTTAGAAAAACATATATTTGTAAAAACTTCAACTATATAGTTGTTTCTGCGCAACGCGCGGGTATTCGCCTAGTCTTACCATAAAATTTTGATTTTGATGGAGATTTTTTTTCTTAATTATGTCACTATAAAATTTTCTTACATAATCAACAAAATAACCGGTTCTTCTTGTTTTCTCGGCAACCACTTTTCCTGAATTGTAATAAAGTCACTACGTTTACCAAAATTTAGATTTTGACAACGAGTGTCAAATTGTAAGAAAGTCATTATATTACCACAAAATTTTGATTTTGACACCGGAGTTTTTTTTCTCAATATCAATCAAATGACCGATTCAAGATATGCTATTATGGTTTAGAAGCTCAATTTGTACAACAAATAAATGAAGGTCGACCAAATGGTTGAAACTCACTTTAAGTTAGCGAAAATGACATTGTCACCCTTTCAGGAGATGCTATTGTGATTTAGAAACTCAATTTGTACAACAAGTAAATGAAAACCCCTACAAGGTTGATCTAAGACCCCTACAAGGTCGATTTGTA